ACTTGTTTTAAGATAAAATTTGATTGTTGTTAAACCCCCTCGTTTATTTTTTTTCATTTTTTTTCCCCACCCCCCCCCCCCCCCCAAACCCCCACCCGCCCTTAAAAATTTTGTTTTTGTTGTTTGTATTTATTTCCCCGTATTTTAAAATATTGTTTAAAGTATTCCGCTTTTGTAGGATGACAAAAATATCTTTAGCTGAAAACGGGACATCTGGTTAATATTTTGAACTGAAAATTAGACATAATAAACAAGTCAATTTAACTGCATCCAATTATTTTTCTTAGGTCACCATGGTAAAAGGGTTAATTATTCATTAAAAATGGTATACAACTCTGTAACATTAAGGCAAAAACCATAAACGAAACAGTATGCTCGTTAACTGCAGTTTAAAAAAAAAATTCAATGAAAATTTCCATAAACCCGTTTTAGACATGAAAAGTATCTAAATCTATTAAATCTAATAAGGTCAACAGACACAACAATAAGTATTTGCTATCTTCTCCAGCTAATTCCCTGGAGTGGCCTATTTCTTTGTTTCCCTGATTTCAGTGCTTTCGTTGATTCTATCCTAACTGGTTATTACTTCAATTCAAGTAATAAAATGGAAAGTCTCTTTTTAAAAAAATTTTGAACATATTTTTTAATTTTGACTGAGAAAAAATAAGGGGAAAAGGGAGTAGGAAAACGTAATCTTTAAGAAAACCAGAAATGCCCCATCAAATACGAGTGCTTTAGAGTATGATTCCGAAAAGATTTAAAAATTTCTGATTATTGTTTTTTCAAACAAATATTTTTGGATTTTGGAATTGCTTTAATGGACAAAAAATATATATTGCACCCCGGACAGTTCTAGAACATTGTCAGACAAAAATAAAAGAAGCAGTTTAACCATCAGCAGTGCTTGTTTCTAAAAAAAAGTGAAATGGCTTAGGCATATTAGGAAAATGTCAAATGACAGAGGGGTAAAAACTATATACACAAGGGAGCTGAATGGTCGTAAACCACGGGGCAGACCAAGAAGACGATGGAGAGATAAAGCCCAGACAGACCTGCGAACACTCGGTGTCACCAACTGGAAAGAGAAGGTCAACCATAGATATGAGTGAAGGCGGGTAATATCTGCAGCAATGAACTTCAAGGGCTCGGAACGCTGAACAAGAAGGCCAACCAGAGAGATGAGTGGAGGCGGGTGATATCTGCAGCAGTAAACCTCAAGGGCTCGGAATGCTGAAGATGAAAGCCAACCAGAAAGACGATTGAAGACGGAGGATATCTGCAGCAATGAACTACAAGGGCTCGGAGCGCTAAAGAAGAAGGCCAACCATAGAGCTGAGTGAGGCGGGTGATATTTGCAGCAATGAACCTCAAGGGCTCGGAACGCTGAAGAAGAACAAGAAGTGCTTGTTTCAGTGAGATGCTCGCTGAAGATCTAGAGCCTAAACTTGGGACTTCTTCGCAATCTTGTATAAGAATGTATGTACTCGTGCTCAACTCCTCCTACATTGTTGACACTGTAAAAAGTTCGTTTTCAGATGTTAAAGTATTATCCCTGTAGTTGTGATCTTGCTCCATCGCAATATCATCTTCTGGTCTGCACAAAGCAGTCTTTTGAGGACAAAGTTTTACCTCAGAAAAGTAATGACAGTGGTGCAACAGAACTCGCAGTACAGTGTGTGTAGTTCAACAACACAAGGACCGTACAACCACCTAACAACACCCGGTGACACAAATTGCCAACGTTCTGAGGAAGATGACCAGGGTACAAGTCCAAAAAAACCCGTTAAACCGTCAAGTTAGATTAGGGCCCCTGACTACTGCCAGGTTGGAACCTTAAAATAACGAAAATTGCGTCCCACATTAGAACGCACCTGCAGTTCAGAAAAAAAGTGTATAAAAAAAGTAACGAAAATAGGTAGATGAATGATGTATTCGACAATAGGTAGATCAATGATGTATTCGACAATAGGTAGATGAATAACGTATTCGACAATAGGTATATCAATGATGTATTCGACAATAGGTAGATCAATGATGTATTCGACAATAGGTAGATGAATAACGTATTCGACAATAGGTATATCAATGATGTATTCGACAATAGGTAGATCAATGACGTATTCGACAATATGTAGATGAATGATGTATTCGACAACAGGTAGATCAAGGATGTATTCGACAAAAGGTAGATCAATGATGTATTTGACAATAGGTAGATCAATGATGTATTCGACAATAGGTAGATCAATGATGTATTCGACAATAGGTAGATCAATGATGTATTCGACAATAGGTAGATCAATGATGTATTCGACAATAGGTAGATCAATGATGTATTCGACAATAGGTAGATCAATTATGTATTCGACAATAGGTAGATCAATGATGTATTCGACAATAGGTAGAACAATGATGTATTCGACAATAGGTAGATCAGTGATGTATTCGACAATAGGTAGATCAATGATGTATTCGACAATAGGTAGATCAATGATGTATTCGACAATAGGTAGCTCAATGATGTATTCGACAATAGGTAGATCAATGATGTATTCATCTTGTCTAACAGCTGAATAAAAAAAAAAAATAATAACTTTAACAGCCAAAGTGTATAATTCTTGCATCTTCCTCGCATAATGAAGAATTCAACACATTTTTTTATAATCTGCGTACAACTTCCAGCTGTATTGGATCTTTTGGACGTGTTCCAATGAACCCCAACCTCTTCATCACAGGTGTCTCTCCCTTCTTCGGTACAGTTCGGTCTGACAGAGTAAATCGAAATTCTCTGAACAAGTAAACCATGATGGTCTTCAGCTCCATCATCGCCAGGCGCATCCCCAGGCAGATCCTTGGTCCGTACCCAAAGGGCACGAAAGCCAGTGGATCTCGGCCAGCCTTGTTTTCTGGACTAAATCTGTCTGGGTCAAACTTTTCTGGGTCTGGCCAATGCGTAGGGTCCTTCATAATTTCCCCAAGACAAATAAGAACGTAAGTGCCTTTCGGTATGGTTATGTTTCCATACGTTACTGTTTCAGCAGCTATACGTAGCACTGTTGAAAGCAGAGGAAACAGTCGCAAACATTCATTAATAACTTGTTCTGTATACTTGAGCTCTTTCAGCTGCTCATAGTCGACGGTTGTTCCTTTGGGAAAGACTTGATCGATTTCAGCAATAACCTTCTCCTGGATGTCTTCATGCACAGCTAAACAGTAGAGAATGGACTGAAAGCTTATGGATACGGTCTCTACTCCAGCTAGAATTAAAATGGTTGAATTCCCTAGTATTTCATTATGAGTAATGGCTCTTGCGTCCGTGTCTTTTAATTTAGGATCGTCGTCTGTAACACCTGCTTTGATCAACATATCCAGCAGATCTCTAACCTTCTCACCGGCCTGGTTTTTTCGTTTTCTTTCTTCAATTGTCGAGTTAAGAATCTTCACAAAATACTCGTCGGCATTTTCATCAACAAAATCGCTATTAAATTTGAGGAATCTGAGAACTTGGTCAATCTGTGGGAAATACTGGTAAACTTTTTCAACTATGTCTTGGAATTTACTGTCAAGATTGAGAAATTTTCGGGCATAGTATGCAAACTCAGTTTCCTGTTCAGACACTGCGTGAGTCTCCACGCCAAAGGCAATTCTGGCAATGACTTCAGTGGAAAATTTGCCGGCAATCGGCTTGAGAGGAATCAGCTGGCTTTTTGCAGCTTTCTGCCGAATGAGCTGAGTCAATGTTTCAGCACTATCACCGACGTGTTTTAGGATCAGTTTCATTCTTGATGCAGTAAACATTGGGCTGGTGACATGCCGAGCTCGTCTCCATCTATCTCCAGTCGCCGTTGTTAGACTGTATTTAATAGACGAAAAAGTTTTTCTTGGACGGGACCTTGAAAAATAAAAATAAAAGACAGTATTATAAAATGTACTAACCTAACATAACATAACATGATCCTTGCCCGTTAGGGTCGTAGATGTGTAGCGATGAAAGCAGTGGCATATCAAACCCGCCACCTCTCTCTGTCTTCCGCTTGATGAATAAGTGTATCATAATTTAGTCCTGTCTATTTCTTGATGTTATTATTCTGTGTTCTTCTTTGCCCTCTTCTTCATCGACTACCCTCCAGTTTGATGTATTGGCTACATTTGAACAAAAAACTGAGAAATTTTAAAACTGACACTTTGACGGTTAAAATATATAGTTGCGTACCCTTTTTTGACATTGCAGAAGCAAAAGCATCATTTTTCCTTATTTAAAAACAAAAAGTTAAGGACCCTTTTCCACGTCTTTAGGCGTATAGGGCAAATAGGGCTAGACCTGTATTTTATAGACCAACGGCACAAGATGGGTGATGTGGTCAGCATCACGCCGGCTGCCTCTACTTACCGGGACTGCACCCTGTACCCACTCAAGGCTGGGTCGACCTGGGAGTCAAGGATATTTTTGAAGAAAAGTCCGGCTCCGCCAGGGATCGAGCCCACGACCTTCCGATTCGCGGTGTGCGTATAGCCACTCTGCCGCGGCGACTCCCTTTTCTCCTATTACTTTGTAAAAATACCAGTGTGACAGATCCAACTTTAATACAATAATTCTTACATCGGAAAGAATGCTTGGCTATAAATAGTTTTTTAAAAAGCAGCCAGGGTGTTACATCAAACTAGACACAGACCAAAATGATACAATGCAGAGAATAACGCATAGCAGCATTAGTACGGTAATGAGCGTGACTAGAGAGCAGTGTTCTTCAACTCGTGGGACCTGGCCCTTTAGCATGCCGCGGAAAAGTCCCTGTGAGCCTCGAAAAAAGAAATCTGCCTGATCATGTAATCATTAATCATAGCGTATGTAGTTTTTCTCTTGCAGTCTGTAGTATTACCACCTTAAAGGACTTCCTATTTGTAGGGTTTTCTCAGGCATATGTCATATATACGTGTATGTATATATATATATATATATATATATATATATATATATATATATATATATATATATATATATATATATATATATATATATATATATATATATATATATATATTTTTTTTTTTTTTATATATATGTACATATATAATATATATCCCTTTTGTAAACCTTCAAGCTGCAGATGTCATTAGCTGAAAAGTTTATTATCTAAATTTATTTGATTGGTCTCCGTGGTGAAGTGGTCAAGCAGTTAGGCTCGCGCTCTGAAGGTTGCGGGTTCGTTTTATGGTGGCGCCGTTTAGATCATGAGTACAATTTTTACAGACATCCCTGGAGGAGTCGTCGCCGTAGCTACAGAGGTCATGTTCTGTGCGACGACCGTGGCAGGCATGCAGCTAGCTGCTCAGCGAAGAGAGAATGGGCCATATGGGATAAAACCCGGTACAATGAAGTCGATCCTCTCATCTTTACCTCTACATTTTTGTTTTCGTGTTTGTTTAGTTGTCGGGTGGGTCGCGAAACAATTTCCACTGTTTTGGTGGGTCACAGATGTGAAAAAGGTTGAGAAACACTGCTATCGACAGCAATAAGATGAAATATAATCATCTAGTATATAAGATGCAGAAATATCTACGTGTTAACTGTCAGCCTCAGACAACGTATACTGCGAGTCTTCATTTGATTCCCAAACAGAGCATACTGCATTATCTTACTGCTTTCACTTGGTCTTAACATTCTGAACACTGTGGCTTTCTCACTGATCACGTGGTTTGCACCTTTCTGTCCTGTTGTATTGTTGTGATACCTGCTTACCAAACTGTTTCCACTTGGTCTTAACATTCTGAACACCGTGGCTTTCTCATTGATCACTTATTTTGCATTTTTGCTTGTTACATTGTTTTGATACCTGCTCTTTTGCATACCTTCATGTTTGTGATCATGTATTGCCTGTCGTTTGTTTGTTTTAGTATCCAGAAGCCCTGAGTTGTTAACCCTTAGGCTCGTTATTATGGATATCACAACCATTCGGCCTTGATTTCATTGTAAATACCGTAAACCTGGGAGAAAATGTGGCTTTCCTGCCTACCCCCAGGATTGAACTAGGACCACAAGGAGTTCGTCACCCGGTCTCCACGCAATCCGGTTTAGCCAACTACGCTAGAGAGCCGGGCATGTATTGCCTGTTAGTGCCATGTATTCATATACTTCCTACACTGTTCATTTAGCCTGTTGTTTGAAAGTAGCACTTTTATCATTTTCAAACCGGTCTTTTTTCCACCCTGCGCAATCAATGGTGTAACTCTCTGGAGCTTAAGTAACATAAAACGAGCCGGTCACATTCGCCATCACCATTACTGCCATCTTCATGCCCTCATACAGCACTGTAATAATACCGCATGGGAAGACGACAATGTGACAACTAACTAATCCCTACAGTACGTATGGAATTAAATACCAGACGAGGGGGGGGGGGGGGGGTTGCGTGGTCCCGAGGTATAATGTCCGACTGGAGTGTTAGAGGTTCCGGGTGCCATCCCCGGTAAGAGCTGGCATTTTTTTCACGTGGATTGGTACTTCTAGTAACTTCCCCTGGTCTCTGAGTCGTGAGATCGGACGCTCGTCTGCATTTCTGCGCACGTAAAAAAAAAATCCTTTGGCAGTTGGAAATCGAAAAGAGTAGCCTAACGTAGATGCCCGGGCAAAAATTTGGAGTTAAATTTCCACCCAAAGTATTTCAGAACCCTCGCCGGCGCAACAGACTGTGCACTATGGTGAGCCATTTCGGACTCAGACTTGAGTTAGAAGAAGAACGGAGTACTTATGGGTTACTACCCGTGTGCCATGATGTTGATCCGCTGTTCAGACCTCAAACTTAAATACCAGGCACTAGAATATATTGGCATAGGCAGTGGTGACATGAATAGAATGTGTATCTTTTTCTTATTCTTCTTTTTCTTCTTGTTTTTGTTGTTGTTCTTCTTCTTTTTCTTTTTCTTCTTCTTCTTCTTCTTCTTCTTCTTCTTCTTCTTCTTCTTCTTCTTCTTCTTCTTCTTCTTCTTCTTCTTCTTCTTCTTCTTCTTCTCTACTACTACTACTACTACTACTACTACTACTACTACTACTACTTCTTCTTCTTCTTCTTCTTCTTCTTCTTCTTCTTCTTCTTCTTCTTCTTCTTCTTCTTCTTCTTTCTTCTTCTTCTTCTTCTTCTTCTTCTTCTTCTTCTTCTTCTTCTTCTTCTTCTTCTTCTTCTTCTTCTTCTTCTTCTTCTTCTTCTACTACTACTACTACTACTACTACTACTACTTCTTCTTCTTCTTCTTCTTCTTCTTCTTCTTCTTCTTCTTCTTCTTCTTCTTCTTCTTCTTCTTCTTCTTCTTCTTCTTCTTCTTCTTCTTCTTCTTCTTCTTCTTCTTCTTCTTCTTGACATTAATGGCTGTAAACTCTGGTGGAAAATTCTAGTTGATCGTCCATTTCTGGACTTTGGTCTCATGCCAGCATCTGGGTCTTGTGTGCACAATCGTTCTAAATATGTGGCTAATTTGTATGCGAGAATGTAGGTTCCTCGCCTCTCATGCAGATTAGTTCTAATTGTGAAAGAAACACCCATAATTTGTCGTATTTGACGATATTCTTGTTAGCTGAAGCTGGTCTATCTTTCCCCCTACAAGATGGTGCCTCGGAACCCACACGGGGAGGACTTCTTTAGTTGAACTGTTATATTTTAAGAGTAATCATGCTCTTTAAGGGCAAATAATGAAGTCTGAAGATGACTGAAAAAAATCTTCATAATGTAACATTGATAATGATAATGATGACGACGATAACGATAGTAAAGATGATTTTAATGGTCAAGTAACAGGTGTGGAGATTACTTTGACCTTTCTTGCCAACATTGAATGTCGAATGAAGAATTAAGAATCGTCATCACAGCCCTCGGGACAGCCCCAATAGTGCTCCGTCCCTAACTCAACAGCAAAGGGAAGAGCTATAATTCTGATGGCAGTCTGTAATTGCCTGATTGTAAATCCGTCTCGCCTTTCACTAGAGTGCTGAGCGCCAGTAAAATCTACCGGTAACTCCTTGTAGCACCATTCACCTCGGACTGTCGTTATAATATATTTGTCCTCCGCACTGTTCTCTCTCTCTCTCTCTCTCTCTCTCTCTCTCTCTCTCTCTCTCTCTCTCTCTCTCTCTCTCAAAGAACCATTACAACATCAAGCCTATCATACATCAGTTCACCACCAAGTGGTGCAGAACCAGCAGGTCTAACTGCCTGTTCGTTTCCCAACACACCAGCATCACCTGCAGAAACTATCTAAAGGACGGTTTCTACCAGGGACCTCTGGAGCGACGCCTTACCTCAACAGAGGTAATGGAAACTACCTAGAAAATAGACCCTATGACATGCAACATTAAAGTGAATGGGACAATCGTCAAACTGGCTGATACGTTTAAGTACTTGGGTACCCTGATGGAAGATGTTTAAACGAAGTTATTTAATGAATAGTTCAATCAAAAGCAGCATTTCACAAACGGAAATGTATTCTATGCAATCTTTCTTAGTCAATTGAGACGAGAAAGCGGATTCTTAAAAGCCGTACAAATCCTATCCTGATATGCAAAAGTGAATCATGGACAGTTGGTAGATTAGTGAAAAAATATCTGGAAGCTAAGGAGATCTGGTTTTATAGACGAATGATAAGAATACCTTGGACAGATAAAAAAAATACTGGAGAAACTAACTCATGAAGAGGACTGACTGCCGCATTATGAAGAGACATTCTACATTCTTTAGTCATGTGATGAAAATGAGAACATTGAAGTACATCGTGATAGTATGAAAGCTGAAGTGGAAGAGAGACAGAGGAAGACTGAGAGAGAAGATGCTGGACAGTTTGACAAAATGGCTTGGAGGATCATCTGTTTCAGAGCTGATTGAAAGTACAAGAGACAGAAGGTCGTGGAGAGACATAAATACCAACGCCACACTGCATGGATTTTAAGAAGAAAGTAATGGTAAGGATAATGATAACAGTGAAGATGTGGGGGTAAGATCATAAAGATGATGAGTGACAACCATAATGTTGATAACAATGACAATGATATGAAACGTATTGCCTACCTATCCATGAAGTTATCGAAATCTTTCACCAAAATTTGCTTCATCAGTGACACGTCTTTGGTAACCAGACAGCATGTTGTGGAATGAGACCGTAGGCTCCGAAGGTATTGCCGTACTGCTGGAACCATTTCCTGATAGCCGCGGTCTCTCCGTCCTTTTGTTCTAGCTTGTGGTCAATGATAGGCCAGGGTTTGGGTCCGGGGACTCCCAGCTTCTCCCAGACGCCATGATGACGTGTGGCATACAGGTAGTAGACCACAACCAATAGAACAAAAGTAAGAGCCAGGAACTGGGTCAAGGACACGTCACCTAATAGCGCAATCATGACTGATACCTGTGACTGGAAATGCAAGAGCAATTTATTGTTGTAAATACTTTTTTTTTAATACTGTGAGCATTTCCTCTTCTTCTTCTTCTTCTTCTTCTTCTTCTTCTTCTTCTTCTTCTTCTTCTTCTTCTTCTTCTTCTTCTTCTTCTTCTTCTTCTTCTTCTTCTTCTTCTTCTTCTTCTTCTTCTTCTTCTTTTTCTTCTTCTTCTTCTTCTTCTTCTTCTTCTTCTTCTTCTTCTTCTTCTTCTTCTTCTTCTTTTTTTTTTTTCTTCTTCTTCTTCTTCTTCTTTCTTCTTCTTCTTCTTCTTCTTCTTCTCTTCTTCTTCTTCTTCTTCTTCTTCTTCTTTCTTCTTCGTTTCCTTCTTCTTCTTCTTCTTCTTCTTCTTCTTCTTCTTCTTCTTCTTCTTCTTCTTCTTCTTCTTCTTCTTCTTCTTCTTCTTCTTCTTCTTATCTTCTCCTCGTTTACCGACTACCAACTCAGTTGGAAGGTTTTGGTTGCTTTTGCTTCTGGACCTAAGTCTTCTTGTAGAACTTGTGATTGAACTTACACATCTGTCTCACAGATCTGGCTTGCTTGCATGCAAATTGTTGGTTCCACCACTCTGAGGCAGAAGGACCCTGACTTCGAAAAAAAAAAACCTAATTAGCTGCATTTTATTGTCATGCTTTTTAAGAGAGGCAGCGGGTATGTTCTTCCCCCTCCCATCCATTTTCCCCCATTCCCCCTTTCCCAAATGAGACCTGCAAGCTTTTATAAAAATAGCTTATAACAATCAACAAACTTACGCTTAAAACAGTTTATCATAAAACAAACAAGGGATGGAATGAGTAAGTATCCTTACTAAAGTAAGATCCCTTTTTACGCCTTTATGGTAAGAGCGCCCATATTTTTAGAGACCATCGGCACTAAATGGGTAATGTGGTCAGCATTACGCTGGCCGTCTTTACTTCCCCAGGTGTGTCAGCATCAATGCAGACAAATGTAGCACCAAGCACCTTACTCTCTCCCCAAAGCAAAAAGCGGGCATCGTCAAAATAAGCGGAATACCCCTAAGAGATGATAAAGAGCCCATGTACCTCGGAGTCACATTTTATGACAGACTGACATGGAGAAAACATATCAGCAAGGCAGCAACTAAAACCAGGAGGAAGACAGCCATACTAAGAAAACTTAGTGGAACCACATGGGGGGCCAATGGGAAAATACTCAATAAAGTATACAAGCAGAGCATACAACCACACTTGGAATATGGGTCAACTGCATTGTGTTCAGCATCTAGTACCACATTAAAGTAGTTGGACTAAGTGCAAAATCATGCACTCAGAGTCATCACAGGAGGAATGAAATCAACCCCCATATTAGAAATGGAGAAAGCTGGGAAAACACAGGCACTGTGAGAACGCAGAGATACAAAGTACAAGTACAAGCTGAAAAGTTCCTCAGAATGCCAGATCACCCCATGAAAAATAGATTTCAGAACCTAGCCTTGGGACGGTTAAAAAGAAACAGCTTTATACTTCAAGCATAAAGAATATGTAGACAAACTGCTGACCTTCCAGAAATTGGTTGTCCACTTAAAAGTATTCCAGAAAAAACCTCATGGAGAGTAAAATGCAAACTAACAGTACAAATCCAGACAAATGTGAAAGGGATATTTGACAAGAAAGAGCAAGATAGTGTACAACGCAGAATGGCCACCCTCAGTTATATTGATGAAGAATACCCCTAAGAATAATGGGTCAGAGTCTATACAGATGGGTCCGCACAAAGTGCAGTTAGAAATTGTGGTGCTGGAGTGTACATAGAATTCCCAGATGGTACTGGGGAGAAGTCTAGCGTACCAACCGGGAAGTACTGCCATAACTAGGATGCTGAAACTCAGGCTATAAAGATAGCTACAGAGAAACTGCTAAATGTCAATCTTAGCTCATAGTATGTTGTAATGCTGACGGATGCAAAATCAGTACTTGAAGCACTCTAGTCTAGGAAATTACTAGAATTGCAAACACTGCTGACACAACTTAGCCTTCAGCGAAGAGTCGTAATGCAGTGGATACCGTCACATTGTGGAGTGCCTGGAAATGAGGAAGCTGATCAACTGACAGGAGAAGGTGCGATAAAGTGCAGCCGGATGTTCCAGTCACATACGACCAAGAGAAAAGAATAATTAAATCGATCAGGAAACCACTAGCCCCAGCACAAGACGACTATTTTATTTTGGACAGATCAGAACAAGTCATTATCCTCCGCCTCAGAACAGGGCACAACCGATTACGTAACCAGGTGTAGACAACATTCAAGATAGGCGTATCAGCCATGTGTACGTGTGGAAAGGTGCACCAGACAGCATAGCATGTACTCCAGGACTGCACCGAATCTGACACATTAAGGCAAACCTTTTGGCCAGAAAGAACAACAGTGGAACGTAAACTATATGGACCACTGAATGAACTAACAAAGACAGTGAAATTTATACAAAAGACAAAATTGCTGATATAGACAACTTATTTCAGGCGAACGAAAGAAGAAGAAGAAGACTTCCTCAGGACATACATCCAGGTACCCATTTAAGGCTGGGTCGACCTGCTACGCACCATACCATGATAAAAATCCAGGTAGCCAGCAGTGGGTTTCGATCGCGGTACGTTGGAATTACGAGTCGGACTCGCACGCCTAAGCGACAGACGCCGCATCCTCACTAAATGCAACTTTAATTTTACATCTCAAATAATGTAAGAATGAGGCGCTCTTGAAAGCAATATACAAATAATTATTTAGCATAGTTCTATTTATAAGAAGAAGAAAGACATCGACATCCTCCACGATTTGAACAGGGAGGAGAATTGGCTCATAAACATTATCATTTTCAAAACTTTAGCTGTTTAGCCATGTAAAATGTCAAGTTGGTCCGGAGAGAACGGTGATAGAAGGGGCAGTTTCTTGAAGACGAGGCCGAGGCCGACCTCTACAAATGTGGATACAAAACATATTAGATGTAATGGATATGAAAGCACAATGCGCTGGATAATTTTTTTTATAAATAAAAAGAGACTTTCCGGCCTGCCATGAAGACATACACTGTCAGTTCTGAACTGCTATTTTTGTCTGGGCAGAACGATGATGGAAGGGACAGTTTCTGGAAGACGAGGCAGAAGCCGACCTCCATAAACGTGCATACAAGACAACGAAAACTTATCCGATATGAAAGCACAATGGGTTGGATAGACCAGAGCAAGTCTTTATTCTATGCCTTAGAATAGAACACAGTCCGACTTCGCAGCCACATGTACACACAATTTAAGACTGGGGAAATCAGCCATGTGTACATGTGGATCAGCACCTGAGACAACAGATCACGTCCCCCAAGACTGTCCCAAATACGAGCACATTAAGGCAACATTTTGGCCAACAGAGACACGAGTGCAAGCCAGACTTCACGGGTCGCTGACTGAATTACAACAGACAGTGAAGTTCATACTAGAGATAACATTACAGATATAGATAGTGGCCGGAATTTATATCCTTTCCGTGTCTAGTTATTGTCATGTATTCTGTTTATATTGATTGATTGCTAGTCCCATTTTGTGAGCTGCTTCTTTTAAGAGAGTCAGTGGCACGTCTCTCTAGCGTAGTTGGCTAAACTGGATTGCGCGGTGAGCGGGTGACGAACTCCTTGTGGTCCGGGTTTACTCCCGGGGGTGGGCAGAAAAGCCACATTTCTCCCAGATCTACGGTATTAAAAATGGAATCAAGGCCAAAAGGTTGCGATATTCATAATACCGAGCCTAAGTGGATACTAAAACAAACAAACAAGAGAGGCAGTGTTTTAACGGTCTGTAGTTCATTTGCTCCAACGATATCAATGTCATCTGCATACCCTATACTTGCAGATTCTCCCATAGCACACTATTGTTTCAATTTCCTTATAATTTTCTCCAGGGCCAAGTTGAAAAGAAGTGGGGACAGAGCATCACCTTGCTTTAAACCAGATTTTTTTTTTAAAGGGTCTGACTTTCTGCATTTATAAATTACTATATCACAAGTGTCTTTCTATACATCATTTAGTCATGGTTATTAACTTCTTTGGTATTCCAAAGTCATTCATTAAAAAAAGGGAAAAGTAAAGGACCCTTGTCCACGCCTTTCGTCGTATAGGGCATATAGGGCTAGATCTATATTTGTATAGACCAATTGCACAAGATGGGTGATGTGGTCAGCATCACGCCGGCCGCCTCTACTTCCCGAGATTGCACCCGGTACCCACTCAAGGCTGGGTCGCCCTGGACGCCAAGGTCATTTTTGAAAAAAGTCTGGCTCCTCTAGGGAGCGAACCCACAATCTTCCGATCCGCGGCGAGCGTCTAGCCGCTCCGCCACGGGGACTCTCGAAGTCCTTCATAGCATTCCATAAACAGTTTCTATGTACACTATCATACGCTTTTTTTTTTTTAAACCACAAAAACATCATGTACATCTCTTCTACATTTCATATTGGGCTCTGCTTTTTAAATTAAAAAATGTAAATTTAAATTCCCAACCCCTTTTTAGAAATTACCTTTTCTCCCATGTCGACCCAGCCTTAGAAGAGTACCAAGTGAAATCCTGGGAAGTAAAGGCGTCACGTTGACTGGTCTTTACAATATAGGTCTTGCCCTATATGCCTGAAGGCATGGACAAGAGTCCCTTATTTTACTGTAACTTTTGTTCAGTTGTCTAATAACAGAGACAACGGCCCGTAGCTACAAGTACTTACAGTGTCTTTTGGTTTCTGTCCGCCAACTAAATAAAGAACACGAGTATCGCTAGTTACTTTTATAATAAGCTGCGACATACGCAGTTTCAAACCAGAGGTCACGTGACTGATGTCAGAATACTGTGGCCCTTAGAAAGACCCGATCTTTACAGGTTTATGTGTCCGTGAAATGAGTGTGTGACCGTGTTTGTCATACGCGTTTGACATGTATGTGTATTCCAAGGTTGTAGAGTTATACTTATATTGTTACCGA